ATAAGCAGCAATGCATGAAATGATGTTTATTTACCTGCACATGATATGCAAATGGAAACACAGTGGCGTTTTGTTCACTGGCTCCAGAAGGGGATGGTGGGAGTGGAGTTTCACAACACTGCAACAGAAACATTGCTGTTTTGTGCTCCCCAAAGAAAGGCTACTGTCCCAGTCATTCTTAATCAGGGGTGTTGATGTGCTGAACCATGAATGACTGGAATGCCCTGGCCACAAATGCACCCCCCCGCCCCCGCTGTGCTGTCCGTCAATGTTATCTGGGGAATTAATCACTTTTTTGTTTTGTTTTGGTTTTTGGCCCGGTACAAAATATAGTACACCATGTGTTTGGAAAAATACGATCTTTCTGCAGCGGAAATGCAACCTCAAGGGAAGGCTGGCTGCAATGTGCGAACAGCAACTGTGCATTTAATGTGCGAAAAACAAAAATTCTAATCATGTGGATATGCTACTCTGAGAATCAGGAATTTTAGGGGGAAACACAAACAGCTCAGTTAGGCTGTTGGAGGGTGTCATTTGTACCACATTTCTAAGTGAACTGGCCTGATCCACCAGTGCTTTGATGGCACCCTGGGCAGCTCCATGCAGAGAAGAGCTCAGATGTTGTTTTAGCAGCGCTCCCCAGAGTAATACACAGATCAGAAGGTGGCAGATCTGCTCAGTGGAATAGCACCTGTTTTGCAGACAGAAGATGCCAGGTTCCATCCCTGGCATCTGTAGGTAGGGGGTGGGAAAAATTCCTGCCAGAACTGCTGTCAGTCACAGTAGACAATATTAAGCAAGATGGACGAAAGAACTATGGGAATTGTAGCTCCATGAAGGGAATTGGGGTCTTCCAACACCTCTTAGCACCCCTAACAAACCACAGTTCCCATAATACTTTGGGGGAACCCATGACTGTTTGCAGTGAAGGTAGCCTCTGGCTCCCCTTACTGTTGGTTTCTGTGGGATGCTACCCTACCAGCCCCAATGGGCACCAGCCATCACTGGTCTTGTGAGCCACCGCCTGAATTCTGAAGTGGTACGGTCCATCCTAAACTTTATCACCGCTAAGGAAATTAGATCACATAATCCACAACTGGGGAAAGAGACATAGCTCTTCTCCCTGCTTCCTTCCTAGGTAGTCTATGTGGTTTGCCCTCTGAAATACTCAGGAATTCTCCCAAGGGGCTTGCAGTTGTCCGCAGAGCCACGGGATCTGATTTATCATGAATCTCCATGTATCATTCCTGCTTGCATCTATTCACAACCTATTGGGTCTGTACCAAGTCTCGTTCTTCCCTCTGCCCAGGCATTCACCCTCCCTCAACTGAATACAAAGTGAACAACACAATGGAGACTGAGCAGCCATCACTGCTGATATATCTGAGTTTCATGCATGGGGTCAGATTAAAGGTATTAATAACAAACATCGCCTGATTGCAATGGATTTGCAGCAAGCAGCTTTGAAATCAAATGGTATTGAGAGAACTGTCTATGACTAAACTGGGGATATGCTGTGAATTCTAACAGGCTGCTCAGATTGGAAGGAAATGTCCAAATTCTACACATAGAAACTTTGCAACACCCAATCAGCATGGAGCAGCAATGCATGAACATAGCCTACTTTAGCTTGAAACATCAGGCGTATTACAAACAGGAGAGGTTGTCAAACTCAGTAAGTTATGAGAGTTTAGCACCAGAATAGTTTATTTAATCTTAATCATAGGACTGTCAGGGTTTATAAGAGCACAGTGCTAAAACCTTCTTCAGAAGCACTTGCTAATCTTACTTGCAAAGCTCCTATTTAGACAGCATTGACAGAAGCATTTTAAATTTTCACAGAATAACCAGCCATTCTGGGGTGTGTTTTTTTAACCCCCACCATTTGTAATTTGCTAAACCACAGAGCAATAAATACATAACCATTAAGACCCTGTTGCAAAAAAATAATACTGTTTATCTTGAATAACTATGGCAGCCAACAGCAGCAGCAGTTTAAAGCAAATGATGTTTCAAGATTTAACCAATGATAGGAATTGACTGGTGAACTGTAACTACTATACAAGACATCTCCAAGTAAAGGATTGAAGGGAGAGGGGGCAAGGAATGGAAAACCACCCCACGTTTCAGTAAAGGGGATGCCCAGAAACTAAGTGCTCCATGATTTCTTGAATTTACTCCCTACCCTGTATAACAGGAGTGGACAACCTTTGGTCCTGCAGGTGTTGCAACTCCCATCATCCCCAGCAAGCATAGCCCATAGAAGGGGGGAGTTGCAGACCAGCAACATCCAGAGGGTCACAGGTTCCCCACTCTTGCTAAATAGCTACAGCATTCATTGTCTCAGATTCTTTCAGATTCATAGATAATTAAAATCCATTTTAGGGTCAAACTAGAAGTGACACTATTCATGTGATTAACAATTGCACAGATTTGTTTAAAAGGTAAATTTCAAGCTCCTAAAAAGAAGATAGAATCTCTCTCCCCCCCCCATGGTTTTAGTTGGCTTTAACTCTTTTCCCTCCACTGTCGTCCTCATCCAGATCTGGGATCTTGCAGCTGCCATTTGAATTGGGGGTGACGTTCCAACTAATGCTAATTACAATTGAGATTGGAACCACGAGGGGCAAAGAGTTACACCAGAATTCCAATCTGGAATGGGCTCCCACACGCACGACATATCGTAGAAACTGCTTGAATGATTTAAAAAAAAAAATATCCAAAACATCTGGAGGACACTACCCCGACAAAGGCTGTGTTTTAGATTGAACTTTGGTGCTACATCATAAGAACATAAAAACTGTCCTGATGGATCAGGTCAATGGCCCCATCTAGTCCAGCATCCTGTTGTCACGGTCCGGTTTACGAGTGATCGAAGTCCCGGCTGAGGACATCAGGACCGGGGGCAAGATGGCGGGGTGGGAGCAGGAATGAGAGTCCAGAAGCCAGGAGTCCGAGGGTCAAAGAGCCGGGAGCCAAGAAACCAAGGGTCTGAGGGTCAGGTAGCAGGGAGTCATGAAGTCAAGGGTCCAAGGATCAGGGAGCAAGGAGTCATGAAGTCAAGGGTCCAAGGATCAGGGAGCAAGGAGTCACAAAGCCAAACGCAGCAAGGCAGGAAGCATGTTGCTGTGGCAAAGAGTGAAAAGGGAAGTGCTGACCTTATATCCCTTCTCGGCTCTTGCCACCAGGTGCTGTGAGTTACCAATCAGCCTCACCTGTGCGGCCGCGCCTTGCCTCTTCAGAACAAACTTAGGAATGCCCCAGTCCTGCAAAGCCCTACTGGTCACAGGGCCTGGCTCCTGTACGCACTCCTGACACCTGTTCTCACAGTAGCCAAATAGATGCCTGTGGGAAGCTCCTAAGCAGAACATGAGTACAGCAGCACTCTTCCCACTTATGATTCCCAGCAATGGGCATTCAGAAGCATTACTGCCTCTGACAGTGTAGGAAGGACATAACCATTGTAGTTGGTGGCCAATGATAGCCTTAGCCACTATGAATTAGTCTAAACCCTCTTTTAAAGCTATACAAGTTGGTGGCCATCATTGCCTCCAGCGGGAGTGAGTTCCACAGTAACAATGTGCTGCATGACAAACAACTTTTTTTGGTCTGCCCTGAATCTTCCAAATTCCAGCTTCACTGGATGTCCCTGAGTTTTGGTGTTGCGAGAAGTAAGACAAAAACTCTTCTCTTTCTGCTTTCTCTACACAATACATGATTTTTCATTGCCCAGCAGGACAAAAGTAATGTAAACTTAGGGAAACTGCAAGAACAAAAACCGATAAGGTCAAAGTGAGGATAATAAATTGGAAGGTTGAGTGGAAATTAGGAGGAATGTAGATATCATTATCTCTCCTTCCTTCTATCACACCCCTCTCTTTTTATCTAGGAGTCAGATAATTCAGAACAACAATTTAGCTGAACGAAAGGTGATTAGCAAGACCATCCTATAGCCCTGTTTGTTTTATACATGAAGCTGATTGGGATATATAGAGACACTTTAAGCAGACTCCAAAGGGATGGTGTATTAATATGAGCCAGACTCAGAAGGAATGGGCCTTGAATGTGAACAAAGGCAGTTATTAAAATGATCATAAAATGTGGCAATTAACTCAGCACTTTTCTGTCCACACATTTTCCAAATGCTTTATGAAAGCCATTCTGCCAAATTCTCTCATGCAGCAATCATTAGGAGAGAGAGGACAAAATGAAGGCGCAGTAGCGAAGACAGGACTGTCAGAAGAGAAGGCAACGGCACAGTGTGTAGAGCAAGGATCCAGGTCCAGCAGTGCTGATTATGCAGTTTTTGCTGCAAGGCCCTGCAAGTGTGGCAGAGGGGCAGAGCGAGGATGAACCTGCAGGTTCTTATTATGTTCTTATGCACTTGAACATCAGGTGACTGTTAACCTGTTCACTCACCATCCATATAAACCTGCCCAGGCTCTGAGGTCTTTGGGGCAGGCCCTTCTTTCAGCTCTGACACCCTCATAGGCATGCTTGGTGAGGATGCAGGAGAGAGGCTTCTTGGTGGCTGCTCCCAGACTTTGGAACTCCTTTCCTAGAGAGGCTAGACTGGCCCCGTCCTTGTTGCCCTTCTGCTGGCAGGTGAAGATTGTTTTATTCCAGCAGACCTTTGGGAACCGATTGTTTTTTAAGGAATGGCTTTTAATAGTGCTATGTTGATTTCACAACTTGTATTTTAATAATTTAACACATTTTTAAGGCAACTTTCTCTAATACAATGCCTTTTTATATGTTATTTTCACTAATGCATTTTATCCTAGTGTATGCAACTTTGTAAACATTGGTTGGTTGGAGAACTGCATTGCAAAATTCAGCTAAGTGTGAATTTCAAAGGATCATAGAATTGTAGAGTTGGAAGGGACCACTAGGATCATCTAGTCTAACCCACTGCAATACAGCCGTACCTTGGTTTTCAAACAGTTTACCGGTAGTTCCTGAACGTTTGGGCTCCCGAATGTCACAAACCCAGAAGTGACTGTTCCAAGGTATGTGGCTTGAACCCATGACTCTGAGATTAAGAGTTTCATGCTCTACCATCTGAGGTATTCCAGATGGTTGTGCAAGAGTGCTCAAACTGTTTTGGAAAATGCACATTTGATGGATTCACCTTTAAATGTGAACAGAATTGAATTTCTCTCTCATTTCTACTTGCCACTATTTCTTCTCTTGATTTTAAAATTTTATTTACTGTGCTACTAATGCGATCCGCCAGTGAAGCCAGATGTCCTTCAGTGACTGGCTCATTTCTCTGATACAGGTTTAAGCACTGCCATTTGGTTGTGCATCTGAACAACCTGAACTGATTTCCCAAGAAGGTTTTCATGTGTTAAAAAAAAAAAAGTAGGGATTCTTTCAGAATCCCCATCATCTGAATTTCAGAGTTCTGAATGTCCTTTTCTTGTTTCAGAAGTGGAATGGATGGTCCATTGTAAAAAATAAAATAAAATAAATTACCCATTGTGCAACATTTGATGGCCGTTGACCCATGATGGGGCCTTTTCAGTGGTGGTTCCCTGTTTTAGGGAAGGCCCTCTATGGTGAGGAGGTATGTCTCACTCTCCCTTATTACTGACTTTCTGGAGGAGGTTAAAAACATTCCTGTTTACCTAAGCATTTGATAGCTGAAAGACACTGTTCCTGGCATCTCCAAGATCACTGGTTTTAGAATGTTATACACACACACACACACACACACACACACACACTTTTTCAGAGTATATATATATTAAACAATTGCTTTATTATTGATGTGCCAGGGTATACATTGATTGACTGACTGATTGTATAATAATAATAATATAAGACAATGTGAATCACATCAAGATTGCTTCTATGGTTTGGCAATGTTCTATCAATGTGCATGTGCACATTGGTAATGAAGGGGGAACCTACATTGTCACCTGAGGACCTTCTTCCTGTGCCTCCTCCACGGGAGGTCCAGATGGTGGCAACACAAGAATGGGACTTTTCAGGGGTGGCTTCCAACTTATGGAATACTCTCACTGGGGATGATTACCTGGAGCCATCATTTCATATCTTAAGGAATCAGGCAGAAGGATTCCTTTTCTGGCAGGCCTTTGGCTTTTAATTATCTGTTTCCTTGAGTGGGTGGGATGTTTTAATTCAGCTTTTAAAAAATGGAATTCCTGACCCCCTCGGTGGAGCACGCATAAGCCCACTCAGCCCCTGCCCCACCTCCATTCCACCCCCTTTTCTGGTCACTTCCCGGTCACTGTGATGATTATATGTTGGGGAAAGCAGGCACAATGCATATATTCAGGGGGAAAAACACCACACAGAATTTAGAAAAATTGCTTGTAAAATAGTGTACTTTAGACAAAATTGTACACACAAATGTGTGTGTTAGGAGACACATGTAAGAAAATGCTGGCTTTTTGTGTGAGAGAGGAGTTTTAAAATTAAAAAAATAAATTACAAACTGATGCCAAAATGTGGTGAAATGAACTTAAAACTTGAAAAACAAGAAACAGAGAGAAACCTAAACCGACAAATTTGTCCATCCCGATAATGGAGCGAAGGAGACAAAAAGTGTGACCAGAGGTGCCTCCTTTATTTCTGGAATTAATTTTAGAGACTGTTCAAGTTAAACTGGAATTTGGAAGGTGTGGCCTGCAGTGAGCTCATGAAAGACTAAAGCGAGGCTGGGGAACATTTGGCCCTCCAGCCGTTGCTGAATGACAACAAGAATCGTGTCTGATTCTTGGCCACAAAGCCTGGGGCTGATGGGAGTTGGAGTCCAGTAACACATTGCAGGGCAACAGGCTTCCCATTCCTGGAATAAAATAACTGATCACAGACAGCCGAAAGGATCAAACCTGCCCAACAACCACCATTCCAACAAGAGTGTGGCTTTGTGAAATGTTCTGAGCCTCGCTTAACTTTGATTTCCCATCATCCTCTGCACTTTACAGCCTAGGTGGCTTCTTAAGCACTAGGCTTGCATAGAGCCATAAAGCAAGGCACCGTGGGTAAGATGACAAAGGAAGGCACACCGCTGTGAATCTCCTTTATTATTACTACCAGCAGCCATTGAGCAGCCAGAGTTGATATTTGTGGCTTCGAGCCGTTTGTGGGAGAACATTTTCCATTAACGCAGGCCTGGTTTTGAGTAAACTGCAATGATACATGGAGCGTTTTCTTTCTTTTAGGTCATAAACTTTTAAAGGAATCTGTCTCGGCCCAGGTTGGGAAGCTCAGAGATAACTGAGTTCACCTTTTGTGGGACTTTAGGACTTGGAAAAGGAGTTGTGCGAGGTGCAAGAAGAGAGTTTGTGGCTCTTTATTAGCTCTTGCCTGGAAGAAATATAAGCAGAGATTTCCATATGCATTTCTTTCTTCTTTTCCCTAAATGCTTCCTCTCCCCACCCCCAGTGGTACTGTATACATTTCAAATGGAGCTGTGAAACACTCCCCACCTCACAACTCCAGATTTTCAAGGTGCAACACAGGCAATTATTTAATATGATATTTGCCGTAAGCATTCTACACACAAAATATCAGGGGATATAAAAAACCTGCATCTCCTCCTTCTCCTTCTCCTCCTTTTCATACTTCTTATTTATTTATATCCTGCCTTTACCCAAACTCAGGGCTACTTGAGAGCCAGTGTGGTGTAGTGGTTAAGAGCGATAGACTCGTAATCTGGTGAACCGGGTTCACGTCCCCGCTCCTCCACATGCAGCTGCTGGGTGACCTTGGGCTAGTCACACTTCTCTGAAGTCTCTCAGCCCCACTCACCTCACAGAGTGTTTGTTGTGGGGGAGGAAGGGAAAGGAGAATGTTAGCCGCTTTGAGACTCCTAAGGGTAGTGATAAAGCGGGATATCAAATCCAAACTCTTCTTCTTATTCTACTTGATAGCATACATTTGTCTCAAGAGCCAATGGAGTGTGCCTCTGAGGGTGAAGTCAAACAGCTGTGTTAGCAGCACCGGAGTGACCTCTCTGGGTTGTAAGCCAGGGCAGTGTTTATGGAAGTCCTGGGCTGCGCAGATGACAAGACCTCGCTGATGTGGTCCAAATGAAAGCAGAGCAATACACCAGGCACCATCTTGGCTGCAGAAGTTGCTGGAAGGGGGCATAGAAGACTCTACCCAAACGCCTTAGAGACTCCACTCTGGATTTGTGTAGGGTTTGCTCCTTAGCCTTTTCTTCACCCAAAGAAGGCAGTAGAGGTTTAGATTCAGAATTTTCCTTCTTCTAGATAGGCTGCCTTCCTAGGCTGTGCATCTGTCCCTCACTTCCCTCTACAGTATGTGCAGAAACTGCCTTCTTGACCATTGGACCCACTATTGGTCTCATCCACTCAGTCCGCTGGAACCTGTCTTCACATGCAGGGAAAGTCCCTAACTCACTGAGTGTTTGAGACCCACCAGCTACCCTCGCCTGGTTCAGCCTGCCAGTCAAATTTATTCCCAGGTTGTGGCCGCTGTCACATTCTGACAGCTTCTAGGAGCCGCAGGTGACAGCAGAGTGCAGGCTGGGGACCGGGAGGGGGGGCAACTTGAATAAAATATTGGTAAGCCACTTCCCACATAATTCATCACAAGATGTGGAACACACACACCATTTGAATGGCAATGCCCATCAATTTTTTTGGGGGGGGGCTGGACCCCTCAAATACTTTGGGGGGGGGCTGAAGGGACCTCAGTCCCTAGGAGTTGGCTCCTATGGTGGGGACCAAGGGTGGGCAAACTACCCCAGAAGGAGCACGACATGTCCCCTATCAGAGGTACAACCCCTTCCCTATCATAAAACAACACAGGCAACGTACAAAAAAAGTATGTGTGTGTGTGTGTTTGAGAGAGAGAGAGAGAGAGAGAGAGAGAGAGAGAGAGAGATAGCAGGTAAAAAGTAACTAAACTATATTAGAATTTAGAATATAAAAACATATCTATTAAAATACAGATAGTAAAAGCAACACAATAGTATTAAAAACCCTTTCCTTTTAAAAAAAAAAGTCAGTTCCAAAGGTCTGTCAGAATAAAGCAGTCTTCACCTGCCAGTGGAAGGACAGCAAGGAAGGAGTCAGTCTGGCTTCTCTAGGAAGGGAGAGCCAGAGTCTGGGAGCAGCCACTGAGAAGGCCCCACTCCATGTCTCCATGAAGTGTGCCTGTGAGGGTGGTGAGACTGAAGATCCCAGAGCCTGCATGGAAGAATACTGTCCTTGAGACAACCTGTGCCTATTAGAGAATGATACACAAAAATGTTGTTAGCAAAGCTGAATAAAATTTGAACAAAATTACCTGGATTGCTTGTGATTTTAAAAAAGCTCATTATGGAAGAAAGGTGGTCATATGGACCCTGTGTTTCTCTACTTACATTTTCCCATCTTTCACTGTCATTATTGTCATTATTATTATTAAAAAAGCCCACACCATTCTCTTCTACTCCTAAGTGAGGCAACATCTTAGAAAAACAAAAGCAGAGCCAGGAACACAATTGGTAATTCCGCAGAAAGTGTATTCGCTGTAATTAGCTGATAATAGATGCTTGACATGCAATATTAATTCCCATTATAGATCAAGGTTGTTTTGTCATTGTCAAGCCAAGTGCAATATCAGATCATGTGTGAGTGCATTTCAATGGGTAAGACTTCTCACTGGACCAGGAGTAAGCTCAAGTCTTTACAGTATTTCTGTTCTTTGAAATGTTTCATTGGTGATTGCTGGCACTTTTACAGAACATTTGTATATTTTATTTTTGGTGTGTGTGGTTTAAAACAATTCTCTATATTTCCCCTATGTGTAGTACATACTCTTGGTGCTCTCCCCCCTAGAAAAATAGATGTTGTGTACCCTGCAGTACAGGGACGCGGGTGGCGCTGTGGGTTAAACCACAGAGCCTAGGACTTGCCGATCAGAAGGTCGGCAGTTTGAATCCCCGTGTAGGGGTGAGCTCCCATTGCTCGGTCCCTGCTCCTGCCAACCTAGCAGTTCCAAAGCACGTCAAAGTGCAAGTAGATAAATAGGTACCACTCCAGCGGGGAGGTAAATGGTGTTTCCGTGCGCTGCTCTGGTTCGCCAGAAGC